CAGGCTGTCACCCCAAAACATATTTCTCTGAGAGATGTGTGCTTGGTGCATGTTGCGTGCATGCTGTCCCCTCATGCCTGTTTCAAAAGTAAAATTGATCTGAAGGACATGCATCGACACACTCAGGTGAGTCATTTAGGTCGCCCCGATGCGCGGTGAGCTACCTGATTGGACAGCGCGCCCGCCCACGGGTGATGCGTTCACCTCTGTCATCTGTTTTTTTCCCGACTCCGCCCGAGTCGCTGGCAGGACGGGCACAGGGCCTTTGTCCTCACCTAGATGTGCCTGCATGGCATGCGGTTTTTAGTAAGAGAAATAGCTGAAGGCTATTAAAAGATGATTTCACACTGTGGGCACAACAATGGTCTCCAACCCAGCAAGAGCGTGCGGCTGGAGCAGGAGCAGGCTGAGCTTTATCCCGCTGCCCGCGGGCGGGGCCCTGTGACTCAGAACTGGCCAGGCACTGAGAGCAGGGCCAACATTAGCGTGCAAGGAATGTGAATTTCCTCTAGGTCAAGGGTAGTGGACGGAAGCATGGTTCACCAATAACTTCAGTTACAAACTATTTTTAGCCTAAGAATAGAGGGTGTTCTAAAAGACTATTAGAATTATTGTTATTATTATTATATAATTGGCTATTGCCCAATGTAATCAATTCTGACAAAGTGGGCATCTGTCTAGATTTATCATATTTTGCCATTCTAACACAATTTACCTCTTACTTAAGACAGAGCAGAGGAGGAAAGTGGGGCCGTCTGCTCCTGAAACAATGGAGAGCCTCCAGAGCCCCACCTAGGACGACCTGGAGCAGGAACCACGCATGTCAGAGCGGGGGTTTGGTCTTCGTGATACATCCGTTACTGTAGCGTCTGGTTTTTCCTGTCCTTTATTGCCTCTCAGGAGTACACATTTTCATTTTTTTTTTTAAACAAAAACACCCTTTTCTTTCTTAAACTGACAATTGAGGTTAAACAAGGATAGACTCAAGACCCATGTGCTGACGAAATTCACACGCCTACAATGAAGTGACCTCGCTCCTCTCTCCCTTGATCATGGCATTGGCGATTGGTCCAGTTGTCCGGATCTTTGCTTTCCTGACCTCGGTGTGTAAAGCCTACTGAAGGCTGTGCATTGTCTTCGGCAGATCTTCAAGCCCTCTCCTCCCAGTTGTCAGGGATTTCGTTTTCCCGGGACCCACCGTCAACACCCATGGGAGCAGCCTTCCAGAACACAAATGGCATGCTCGTATTGCGCTGGGCAACTCTGTCTCCAAAAGCTGTTTGTGGTGTTAAAATGCAAATACATCTCTCTGGAGCCTGAGCTGCCCTGGAGTCAAGCCGTGGTATTTTCAGTCTGCTCACCTGTTTATGGAAGCTGGATAATAAATTAGGAAGGCAGAAAAGAATGCATGGATTTAAATTATATGTTGTTGAAAAAAAATTCTTTTCGAATGTCGGGTAGTACAGTCAGCCCTGCGCTGCTCTTCAATAAGGGTTGCTCTCTCCACCCCTTTGTCTTGGAGGATTGTATCAGCAGTCTTGCTTCATCAGACTCAGCCTTCTTAGTCCTCCAGGGAAAATAGGGAAGGTGCCATGGTACTGCCAGAAGAGCAAACAGATCTCTCTTAGACGAAGGACAGCCAGGATGCTACTGAGAAGCATGGATGGTGTGACTTTGACTCACATGCTTTGACACGTGGCCAGGAGAGCTCGGTCCCTGGAGAAGGATGGACTATCTGGAGAAGGAGAGGACCATGGAAAAGGAGGGAGAGCCTCGGGGGATGCGTCCACACGGTAGCTGGGTAGCTGCCACAATGGGCTCAGTGCAGGAGCAATTGTGAGGATGGCGCAGGACCGGTGGTGTTGGTGGGTCGTCCATGGGGTCACTGTGACCAGAAGGGACCTGAGGTCACTTCACAGCAGCGACAAGGAGACAGGCCAGTGCGTGGGCCTCTGGGCATTTCATTGCCCAAACTCCTGCTCCCCATAGCCCAACTCCCCCGGGGATGTGTCATTTCCGCAGGACTCGGTTTCGTGCGTGTAGCATTTTCGTCTTGATGGCATCATCAGCAATGTGAACGTTTATTGCTGTGACGAGTCCAGGAATGTCGCCCTAGTACACAGCTTCATAATCTCTTGACAAGTAAGGCACATGGGTGTTTCATTGTGGGATTCACGTCAACCTCCCTTCATGAGAAATGAGAAAAGGTCAGAGAAGGCTTGTTGAAAAGAAAATAAATAATACAGAGTTTGAAGATGATGACAAAATTAGGAAAATACTAGAGCAGACCTCAAAACCCTAGGGGTTCAAGGAAATGAACCAAAGTTACCAGGCTGTCACCCCAAAACATATTTCTCTGAGAGCAGATGGGAGAGACACAGAATGTAAATATCACCGTTGTTGATGCTTGGGAACCTATAATGAACATGAAAGTGTTGACAAGATTTGAGTTTTTAAAAAACAGTAACAAGAAGAACCTGAGACAGACCTGCTGAATCAATATTTGATTCTAAAGCTTCTAGAAATGGACATTCCTTGTTCTTTCCCTTGTCACCCTCTTAGGTGCTTGAATTGACTGCTATGCTTCCCCCCACCACCACCACCCCACCGCAGCAACTCTGGTCCACACCTGTCCCTGGTACAACGTCCTGCCCATTCATCTTTAAGGTTTACGCCGTGTTCTCCTCACACCCACTCATGGGAGAAGGAGGCGCACGTTTAGAAGTCAGGCTCCGCAGAGGAGGAACCAAATCCAACCATGAGAGAGTGGAAGCCACGGGAGGAAGGAGAAATCCAGGGTAGAGAAGACCACAGGGAAGGGGTAGGATTGGGCGAGGGTTGGTCGTGATGAATTCTGCTCTTCCAGGGAGTGGTCTACTGAGAAGGGGATCCGTGTCCAATGCGAGCCTCAATGGCTTCTCCATATCTGATTAGGACCATCCATGATGCTGGTTAAATGTTGAAGCTTAAAGATGCCTTTAAAAATGTGTGTGTGTGTGTGTGTGTGTTCTCTTTGCTCATTAATCTTTTACAGCAGACATTCTTTCTCACCTGCTGTTTGGCAACCTGATCCAGCCCAGCAGTACAAAGATCAAGTCCATCGAGAGGGGGGCAGCCTGCCTGCTGGGTATCCAGATTCTGTTACTTCTGGATGACGCTCACCTTCAACAAGTTAACCTGTCTACTCCCAGCTGCCTGTCCTGTAGAATGGAGCTGTTCAGATTGGTGTTGTAAAGCTAAAGGGAGCTAATGCTTGTAAAATTTTAAAGTGGCTCCTGGCCCATAAACAACCATGATCAATGGCCAGACCCGTATAGAACTTAGCCAGGTCACAGAGCCAAGTTCTGATGAAGGAAGCCAGAACTGCCAATAATGCTGGGTTTCAGGGTTAAAGTTGTAGCAATGGAGCACGTGCTGACTGATGAGTGTGCATTGAGACTTTCTTCACTCTGTGGGGTGACATTCTCCCTATCTCCCCCCAAGAGTTCTCCGAGAGGTGGTCGGTCACCCAGTGCCCACCTGAGTAGAAACTGTCACTTGTACAATCATTTAGGAAATGCTCTTTTTCCCTTTCGGGTAAATCACTCTAAATTGGAAAATCATTTCAATATTAAAGTAGCAAGAGGATGAGTCATTTGTTTCTAGTGTTTCGGATTTGTAATGATAAGAAGACAACGAGTTGAGTGTGAACTATGTGTGGCTGGGAGGAGGGGGCAGGGGGTGTCCTTGGAAGCAGCAAGCCCGTAAACATTGGCTAAGAAAGAAGTCGTCAGCTCCTGGAGGCAGGGGTGGGGGTAGGGGAGAAAACTCAAATTGTATCCTTCTGTACCTTGTTAGTGCATGTGTGGGAAATGTAGTGCTTATTAAATCTTGGTAGACTTTTTTTTAATTCATAGGTAGTCCCTAGGTTACGATGGGGTCCTATCCAAGGACTGTATCAAAAGTTGGTTCTACTATAAGTCAAATACCTCATTTGCCTTTTATTATCCACTATCTCTACACACCCAGTCTGCATTTGTCTTTGGGGGTTGGAAGCATTATATCTGAAAATGATGACATGGCAAAATAGGTGCTGCAACACTATACACAGCATGTACCACTAATGATAAGGTGCACAAGGAAAGCAAAGGCAGGTGATCTACGGTGGGGGTTTCCGTAACTCAAATATATTGTAAGTTGGGGAACTACCTGTATCCCAGAACTAATTTGGCCTCGAGATCAATATTGCAACCCAAGGTCCCACCCTGCTGTATGGCACTGGGTCTAACCAGAAGGTACCAGGAGGCCTGGCAATAATCTCTGTCACCAAATGGGCACTTGGGTTTCCTGACTTCTTCCTGGAGATGGTGCCCCCTCCTGGAGAACAGCAGCTCCAGACTAAAAGCTCAGGCTCACTGGTCCCACAGAGAGGGCTGAGACCCAAGAGACTGTGGCACGCAGCCATCGTGGGTGTCTGGAACCGAACTCACCCTTGTGGCAGAGTTACCAGACACATGCGATCAGCGGGACGTTTACCCAAAGACAGTGTGCAGAGAGCCAGGAAAGAGGGCGGATCGACACGGGAGAACGTGGGAAGGTTGGTGGTGACCTGAGGGGCTTGCAGTGGGTGAGTTGAAGTCAAAGGTGTGTGCGTTGTTGGCTGTGGGAATGATGGTCTGCTCTGGACACCTTCACAAATTCACACAAAAAATTAATTTTTTTTAAAAAGACCGTGGGAATTTAATAAATGTAAAATCTTACTGAGGTATAAGTGAAAAATCCTAAGCTTGTAACTTGCTGAATTTCACAATATGACTATACCTTTTAATCAGGACTCACAAGAGTGGTTTTTATTTATAAGTTTCAAGTGACATTTGAGGCGATGATGATGGTTGTATGATATAATGAACATAATTGGGGTCTCTGAATTGTATAGGTAGAATGTTGAAATGGCTTTTATATGCATAGAATTCAAAACTCACCACCAATGAGGTGGTATTGACACAAAGTGACCCTATAGGGCAGAGTAGAACTTCCCCTGGGAGTTTCCAAGACTCTTTATGGGAATAGAAAGCCTTATCTTTTTCCCTCCGAACATCTGATGGTTTCAAACTGCTGACCTTGCAGTTATCAGCCCAATAAGGAGCCCACTGTGGCATAGAAGGAGGCTTTACAAGTTGGCAGAGAAAGTCTACTCTCTTCCCATTCCATTTTCCACATCCGTGAGCACCTTCAAAAAGTTCCTGCAGGTGGTGGGAACACCAGAACTGACTTTGATGATGTATATACGGCTCTATTTAAATGTGATTTACCTTTGGAAGTTTATGATATGTGAATATTATATCAAGAAAGCTACTGAAAAACAATGAGACCACACTTGACCAATGGCTACCATGGGTGAAGGAGGAAGTGGTTTTGCTTAGGGGACACTGGGTTTATGCTAATGGTGGTGGAATAATTTGGAGAAGGATGTTAACGATGGTTATGAAGGGACACTGGGTTTATGCTAATGGTGGTGGAATAATTTGGAGAAGGGTGTTAACGATGGTTATGGAGCATGAAGGGTGCAATCAACGGCACTGAACGATACAGGAGCTGTTGATGAGAGACTGCTTGGCTGTGTATATTTTCACCACGATTTTAAAAATTACGCTAATGATTGCATACAAGGAATAAGAAAATGTTCTAAAATTGAATATGATAATAATTCGGCAATTCTCCTTGATATGATTGAACTATTGACTTGTGCATTATGTGGATGAGGTGCCAATAAAACTGTTGTTTAAAAAAAAAAAGTTCTTGGAAAAAGGAATGGCGGCATGTCAAAGACCGAGCATGGATTTACATTTAGACGGAGATGCTTAGTCATTGGCTTGTCCTGACAGTTTCCCACTACGTTAAGGGAGCCTCTAGAATGGAGACTGCAGATGGGGAGCCTCCTTTCCGTATCTCTACACCAGCAACCTGGCTCCATCGATAACAGAGACCAGCTTCATTGGGCACTTAACCAAATGTGACACATCACAAGAAAGTCAAGTCTGCTGTTGAACAGACTCCATGGGTGAGTACTCAAGGAAGGGCCATCACTTAGCTCTTGTTCTCTTAGATTCTCATGCTGATATGTCAAGAGACAGGCAGGGATTGAGAAAGAAGATTCGAAGGAGCTGCTTATGGGACTCAGGGCTGCACGTGGGTAACGCTGCACTCTAACCAACGGAGGTAGAAGGCTGTGTCTCCCCTATGTTCTGTTGTAAAAACCCAGTAAGAAGTGGGATGCTGATTCAAGTGCATTTCTCCAATAGTCCTTGATGACCTTGCACTCCACCCAGCTCCACAGCCTGAGTGCTGGCTCCTCTCACCACTGGGGTGTTTTCCTCAGAAGTCAGAGCATGCCTAGTGACATCCCCCGACAGTCCCCATTCTCCACAAGAAACACATAAAGAAAGGAAAATGGCTCCCTCTTTGGATCCTGCCCCTCAAACCACGCATTGGAAAGCTAACCCTTGAGCCGTAAAGATGGCATTGTTTGGAAGTAGGGGTCTGCTTTGGTGATGTTAACAAGGTCCTATTAGAGTAGGGTGGGTCCTAACCCTAC